TGCCCGAGGGCAATTTTTCCAGGCAAAAAAACCTCTTTGGGAATTCAATCCAGTAATTTTTCCAGCTTTTTTTTTTTTTCCCCCCCTCCTCCCAGTATAATGACATTTTCCTCAGCGTTACATCTGGATGTTCCTTTTTCCCTTTATTCTCTCTCACTCTGAGGAGAAATTCAAACTTCAAAAAGGCCATGAAAATAAGGTTTGAAACCCAAAATGAGCGGGTTTTGTGGGATAGAACAAGCTGTGATTAGTCCTTGTCTCAGGAATACGGAATTTTGAGTATTTAATTAAAAACATCCCTGGAACTGGAGGTTTTAAGGGATATTAATGATGCCCAAGCTGCGAGATCTCAGCGGGTGCTGCAGGAATTCCCCCAAGGATCCCTGGAAAAGGACTTGGCTTTGTTGGCTTTAGGATTCCCAAGAGGGAGCAGACTGTGTGGAATTAATTAAGGGGTGTAATTAATCCCAGCCTAAGTGAAAATCACAACTTTTTTTAAACGAATACTTTGACTTTTTGCCCCCAAAAAGCTGCAGTTCCTTCCACAGCTCCCCCAGGAGCAGCACTTGGGATTGGGAACAGGGAGTTGGGACTGGATTTCCTGCAGAGTCACCCCAGTGTGGGAATTCTCTGGGTGAGACTCAACTGTGCTTCCATAAAAAGGAGGTGACTCACCTCGTGTGAGCTCCCCAATTAATCGGGAGTGTTACTAATTATCCCAGGAGATGCTCCAAGCACCAGGACAAGGAGCTGCCACCTTCCCTTTGCAAGGCTTCCACCAAAATCCCAGTCCTGGATTCTTCTTTCCCGCCCTTGGGAATGATCTGCACAACATTCCTGCACATAATCCTGTATTTTATGGGGTTTGGGGGTTATTTTTATCTCCTATTTTTATCTGTTTTTCTCTCCTCCCTCCTGGCTGGAGTTTTCACAGGGTGCTTTATTCCCAATCTACCATCTGGGAAACGAGGAGTTGGAAGCTCCTGGGAGCCCAACAACCCTCAATAAGGATGTTTCCAAGGCCTCACAAGTGTATCTTCCCCCTTTTTTTTTTTCCAACCAGGACACACTTCCATCAGGTTTTAAACTCTGGGATTCTCCACAAGAAGCTACAAGACACAAAGAGCTCAGGGATGACCCCCCTTGTTTCCTTCCAGAGCCCCTTCCTTCTCCTCTCCAGTGCCAATCCCAATCCTCTCCAGCTATTTCCTTACCCCAGGCCAGAACTTCTCCATCCTGGAAGGGGATTTCCAGCCCTTCCTTTTCCTTTTTCCCCACTTACAAAGTCCTTCTCTTCCTCCTCACCCCAAACCCAACAATTCTGCTACATCACAGAATTCCAGAACAGTTTGGGTTGGAAGGAATCCTAAAAGATCATCCCATTCCACCCCGTGCCACGGGCAGGGACACCTTCCATTATCCCAGGTTGCTCCAACCTGGCCTTGGCACTTCCAGGGATCCAGGGGCAGCCACAGCTTCTCTGGGAAATCCATTCAGCTCTTCTCCACTCTCCCAGCCAGGAATTCCTTCCCAATATCCCACCTTTTGGCAGTTTGAAGCCATTCCCTGTGTCCTGTCACTCCATCCTCTTGTAAAAAGTCCCTCTCCATGTTTCTCAAGGGCTCCCTCCAGGTCCTGGAAGGATCTTTCCCTGGACCCTTTTCCTAATATCAGAAAACACCCCATTTTATCCCAGTCCTACCAGGGGAAGCTGTAGGTCAGTCACCCAAAGCCTTGTTGTCTCCTCCAGAACCCTCATCTCTCCTCATGGAATCCCTGAGGTTGGAAAAGCTCCCCAAGGTCACCGAGTCCCCCCCTGTGCCCATCCCCACCTTGTCCCCAGCCCAGAGCACTGAGTGCCACTCCAGGCCTTCCTGGGACACCTCCAGGGCTGGGCACTCCAAACCTCCCTGGGCAGCCCCTGCCAAGGCCTGACCACCCTTTCCAGGGAGAAATTCCTGCTGATGTCCCACCTGCCCCTCCCCTGGCACAGCCTGAGGCCGTTCCCTCTCCTCCTGTCCCTGTTCCCTGGGAGCAGAGCCCGACCCCCCCCGGCTCCCCCCTCCTGTCAGGGATTGCAGAGCCAGAAGGTCCCCCCTGAGCCTCCTTTTCTCCAGGCTGAGCCC